ATAGGAATGGGTGTAAAGGAAGAGAATCAAGGATGGCCAAGACTTCTGCACAGCAAGTGGAAAAATAAAGTTGCCATCAATCAAGAGGGGGGACCGGGAGAGAATAGTATGAGGGAGAAACCAGTTCAGTTTTAGTCTGAGTTTGAAATAAGTTCATGTTACAGACAGTCCCTGATTTATAGTTTGACTTACAATTTTTCGACCTTACAGTGGTACAAAAGCAACACATATTCAGTAGAAAGCACACATCTAATTGTGAATTTTGATCTTTTCCCAGGCTACTGATATGCGGTATGGATTCTCTCTGGTGATGCTGGACAGCGGCAGAAGCCACACTTTCAGCAGCCAAGCGATGGCAAAGGACACTCAGTGGAGCTGTAACTCTGTTGCCAGTGGGGGTTGTTTTTTGTTTGTTTGTTTTCTTTTTCACATGTCATAATGTCTACAAAACGCCCATCTGTGTCTTCTGTTCCTGATGGAGGAGGAGGAGGAAGGCAATGACTTTTTTTTTTTTTTATCCTCACCCGAGGATATTTTTCCATTTTTTGTACAGATAGAGTGGGAGGGAGAGAGAGAGAGAAACATCGATGTGAAGGGACACATCGAGTGGCTGCCACCCGCACGACCAACCAGGGCCGGGGACAAATTGCAACCGAAGTACGTGCCCTTAGCGGGAACCGAACCCGGGTCTCTCCGGACCGCAGGCCAACGCTCTAACCGCTGAGCCAAACTGGCCAGGGCAAGGCAATGACTTTTGAGAGGAAGGAGGTAACTGCCTACCCAGCAGCAAACTGTTAGTGCTCAGAACACGTTCACTGTGGGCTGTGTGTTCCGTAGGCTCCGTGTATTAGATGCATTTCCACTCGTGATGGGTTTATCAGAACATGACCCCACCACTCGGCTGAGGAGCACTTGTACGTATTAGATATTTAAGGGAAGATGTGGCATTGATTATCTGGATATGAGTCTAGGGTTCAGGAATACAAGAAGTTATTACCCAGATTTAATTTGACATTCTTATCTGACCCTGTCTCTTCTGAAGGAATCAACTTGGGTCACAAATGTAAATGTTCTTTTTGTTAAAGGACAAATGATTCAGTACAGAACAGAATTAAAATGCTGTGAGCAGTGCTGCCCTAGTCTCCAGGGACATTATCATCCATCCAGTGAAATGTCGTCTATCATCAGCACTGACGTGACCTCCCCGAAAAAAACACCTGGCACCAGAGTACAGACATTGCAGAGTCGACTGCACATATATATTTTTTTAATCTTCAGATAGACCGGGAGAGTGGAGAGAGAGAGAGAAACATTGTGAGAGAGACACATCAACTGGTTGCCACCCACACAACCCCAACCAGAGCGGGGACAAACTGCAAACAAGGTACGTGCCCTTAGTGGGAACTGAACCCGGGACTCTCTTGTCCACAGGCCCATGCTCTAACCACTGAGCAACTGGCCAGGGCTCAACTGCACATTTAGATTCACAGCTCTGCCATTACCATGCCGGCTACCCCCCCACTCCACTTCTACTGAAGTCAGGTTTTGCCCCTGCTGTCCCCAACGTCCTCTCACCATGTAAGATTGTATGACTTATATGAAACTTACACCAACCAGTCATGTAAGACTGTTGCTCAATACTGTTGAGGCTCTAGTTTACTTTTTGCCTTCTCATCAACTCGATCGTCCTCATTCCTGTTTTACCAGCTACAAAGCTGACCTGAGGTTGAGTTTTTATTTTTTTAATTTCATATTTCTTACATTTTATGCTTCCTGTAAGTTTTATAATAAGTATACATTTTATACTTAGTGTGCATACTTCGGAGATTTTTTTTTTGTATATGTGCTGCTGATGCGAGTGCTGAAATGATTTGTTTAAATGCGTAACATCAGCAAGCAATAATATAACATTCTAATGAAGTCTGCAGAACATAGGCAGAAAAGAAGTAAAGATTACTTTCAGTAAATGTGTACTTCTATTAATTAACCCAACAAAATATAACAAAGAAAAATTTTCTTTAGCACATTACAGAGATCAGGGCATGACTGACCATAATCTTCCGTACAACAGAGTCTGGAACCATATCATGGGTTGAAGAGTAAAAAATATTTGCTGACAGAAAAGAGAGAATCCACATTACCATGTATAATCAATCCTTGGCCCCTAAGAACCTAGAAACTCTGGAGTGAATGGGGATAGGAACTTAATGACAACGAAACTGTTTTCTAAATAAAACAAGACCAAATCCAATATTGGTCCTGCTGGTAGGAGTTTTTGTTCCACCTTTAACATCAACTCATAGCTCTTAGAACTTGAAGAGGTACAAGGATGGTTGTTCAAAAGAATACGTGGGAATAAGTAAAAGGTAGCAGCAATAGACAGCAGTCATATAGGCAAGAAATGATGGCCAGAAGGACAATGTAACACTGATTGGTCTAACTTGTGTTTCAAGGAGAGAAAACATTTCAAAGCAGGAGTTCTTATCCTGAGGTCCACTAACTTGAAAACAATGAACCTGATTCCTAAAGAATTCAATGACCCCAAAAGAGGTTAAGAATCCCTGCAATGTGGTTCATTTCCATCTATAAATGTACATGTACTATTAACACCACCTTGTAGTAAACATATGCAAAGTATACTACTGCTTACAAAAAATAATTTTAAAAGTGTTCCAAAAGGCATACAGCTAACTTAAAAGACAACAATGCCTAGATACAAAAGGTCACATCACGTAAGACTCCCTTTATATGGAAATATCCACAATAGGTACCATCCACAGAGAAAGAAAACAGACTGCTGGTTACCAGGGAGAGGGGTGGGAGCGGGGTGTGTGTGTGTGTGTGTGTGTGTGTGTGTGTGTGGTAACTGCTTAATGGGCAGAGGTTTCCTTTTGGGGTGTTGAAAGTATTTCGGAACCAGATAAAGGTGGTAGTTGTACAACACTGTGAATATACTAGATGCCACTGAGTTGTTCACTTTCAAAACAGTGAATTTTGTTATGTGAATTTGACCTCAATTAAAAAATAATAAATAAAACTCTTTTTTTTTTATCCTCACCCGAGGATATTTTTCCATTTTTCATACAGATAGAGCGGGAGGGAGAGAGAGAGAGAAACATCGATGTGAAGGGACACATCGAGTGGCTGCCACCCGCACGACCAACCAGGGCCGGGGACAAACTGCAACCGAGGTACGTGCCCTTAGCGGGAACCGAACCCGGGTCTCTCCAGACCGCAGGCCGACGCTCTAACCGCTGAGCCAAACTGGCCAGGGCTAAATAAAACTCTTTAGTATCTCCTTATAGAAAGAAAAAAGACAACCACAACCTAAGTGTTAACCTGATTTGGGGAGGAAAAAGGAAACATGGGGTGAAATGGAACAACCAGACAGAAGACGGCTTAGGGAGCTTTCATGCCCAGTACTCAGGACAGGAATCAAGTGGAGCTAAGTTACTAAGCGTCACTGTACTTGGTGTTCAGACAGCTCATCTACTGAGACATTCTTTTTGCCAGGGAAAAACTAAAATAAAAAACTTCATATTTTTTCTTAATGCCCTCTTAGGACTTGCAGGTTCATATAGTTATGTCTTCCATATCCTTGGGGCTACATTCAGGAGGATAAACAAAAGAAATTAATACTGGGAAAAATAGCCCTGGCCGGTTTGGCTCAGCGGTTAGAGCGTCCGCCTGCGGTCCGGAGAGACCCGGGTTCGGTTCCCGCTAAGGGCATGTACCTTGGTTGCAGTTTGTCCCCGGCCCTGGTTGGTCGTGCGGGTGGCAGCCACTCGATGTGTCCCTTTCACATCGATGTTTCCCTCTCTCTCTCTTCCTCTCTCTCCCTCCCACACTGTCTGTACAAAAAATGGAAAAATGTCCTCGGATGAGGATTAAAAAAAAAAAAAAAATACTGGGAAAAATACATACACAGCTAAGCCACGTTTAAAGCTTAACTATTGTTCCACAAGATATTTACCTTTAGTAGTAACTCAACATTTCCTTTACAAAACTGAACGTCAAAGTATGCACAAATAACTGAAATCAAATGCAAATAGCTAACCTATTCACACACACACACACAAAAAAATTACAGGCCCGCGCCAGGTGGCTCAGTTGGTTGGAGCCTCATCCCACACACCAAAAGGCAGTGGGTTCAATTCCTGGTCAGGAAACATGCCCGGGTTGTGAGTTCAATCCCCGGTCGGAGCCAACCAATCAACGTATGTTTCTCTCTCTCTCCCTCTCTCTCCAAATATCAAATACATATATATACACATCCCCTTGGGTAAGGATTAAAAAATAAAAATTAATTAATTTAAAAAAGAAAATATAGAAGAGTCAAATAACTGCTTTTGTGATTTACATCACAAATAATTAACTCACAAGATGTGTCTATGAACAAACAGCTCTGAGCCAGTTACTGGGACCAATATCCAGAACTCCTTTAGAAAAGCAATAAAACCACAAAACACGCAAATGGTAAGTGGACCTATGGAATCATAAGGTTTGCTAGTATTTACTACATGACATTCATGTTAAATTAACATCAGTATTCTCAAGGTCAGTATCATGTTTGTTCGACTTCTTGGAGTCATACAGTTCTGTGATATTTTTAACAGCTGACTAAAGTTTCTATCTATCATCACAAAATGCTCAAACTGTTTACAACTGTTCCTGAAGCAGCAGTTGGTTTTTCTCAGTCACATCTTGTTACAGTAAATCAAGTAGCAGTTTTAAACTCCAGGTATGGATTTTACTACTGATATGTAAAAAGCTTTATTTTAACGTAAAGGTCTTTCTCCCTAGTAATGGGAGAAATGCAATGAAATGCAGGCAAGTTAGGAGAAAGTTATAACAAGCTCACAAACCGATTCTCAAGCATGCATACTGAGAGTCTACTATCATGCTGAAAGAACTGGGTGCTAAGTATTATTGACCCTGCTTATATCTTTCATGTCATTTTCAGTATCTTCCCATCCATTCAATAAAATGCAGAAACTTACCAACACAAGCATTGAGGAAGAGCCAATCGGTCTTTTTCATCCTGTTTTTAATTTGCTTTAGTTTTTTAAAGTCCACTTCAAGCTCCTCCTTGCTGCCAACAGCACCAGCCAATTCAATCCTCTGAAAATCCATCTTCATCTCGGAGTCGCGTTTCGTAGTAGGCGGCGATCTTCTTTGGCTATTGCTACTGCTGCAGCTTCCCCTCCATCGGGCTCTGTCTTGCTCATTTATTATTGAAGAAGCCTCTTCAGTCTCGGCCAACTCTATTGCTTCAATATTATTAGGTCTGGGATGATCACAAACAACACATTTTTTAGCCTTGGCCCAGTTTTCATATGTGCAAACAGAACAAGTCCAATGCTGGGTCCTTGTGTTCAGTTTATTTCTGTCATTGTATTCCTCACAAGGATCAACAGAAAAAGCTACTGGTCTTGAGCCAGATCCTGAGGACTGAGGAGACTCTGTGGGACTCCTGGTCCTACGCTGGGATAAGCACTGGGTACATCTGATTGCTCTTGGCCAGTTCAAATATGTGCACATGTGGCAAGACCATTTATTTGCATTTTCCATGCTGTACGAAGACTTAACCCTCGGTCGTGCGCTAGAGTCTGGGCATATCAAAGGACTACTTCCTCCTTCGGTGCTGGAAGGATCCCAACCTCGACCAACATCACTTGAACCACTTTTAAATGGATCTTCTGTAATAATAGTTCCACTAGGTCTTTGGGCACGACACATAGTACACTTGATTGCAGACGGCCAGTTTTCATACGTACAATATTCACAAGCCCACTTAATTCCACGTTCTGACATCGTGCACTTCTTGAAGTGAGTTATGTCAAGCAGGAAGCTATAAATAATTAGGACATAGTTATTAAAGCAATAACTACATAATTCCACCTCTGAAAATATGCCCCCAAAATAAAAGGATGCTTCCACTTATGAAATATAAATTTTTCAAAAGACACAAGTAAGATTTCATATTGAACCATCCTCATTTTATATTTTGATTCCCATAGACTCCGAAGATAAACTCCTAAAAAAAAAATCTTAGATCTCTTGGGATTTAATGGAATTGTATTTCAGAATACAGGAGATAGCAGAACATAAAGAGGTCTGCTATAAGAGGGAAAGAGATTAAAATAGGGAAGCTGCTAATAAAAATGTCTCATTTCAGCCAGTCATCACCATCAATTTAGAAAAGCAACCAACAGTTAAGAGACTCAAAGGGATGGAAAAGAACACAAACCAAATCTCTTAAATACATAACCATTCTCAAATTATGAAAAGCATAGATTAGTTAGGATGCTATCTAGGTATAGCATCATAATGTTTGCTAAAGAATTCAGAAGATCAAAGTCAATTCTATCATTCTTGCTAAGGGAGAAAAGCAGCTTAAAAGTACTAATTATACAATGCTCTTAATAAGCACAGGTAAAAAAGAAAGATGTTGAGGAGTTAATCCTTACAATTAACAAAGTAACACTGAAATAGAGATAAAATTGCTTGATAGCCAATATATCCTCACAATCTAGTTCTGTCTGAAACACACAAAAAGTGCCAATCACCTATACTCGGGACAATGAAACTGATGGAATGTCACTGAGATAGCTGCTATCTCATCACTCCAATAAAATTGTGAATATTCATACTCAAAATATTCAATATTTAAAATATGCTTGAAATTCATATTAAAAAGTCATTCACTATCTAAAAGTTCCCTAGGATTCTACACTGGGCTTACTAACACTATACTATAGTGAAGACTTCATTATTTAATGACAACTAATTTATAAATGAAGCAACTTAGATGGCAAATTTAATAATGACTTTTATCCTCACCCGAGGACATTTTGCACTCATCTTCAGATAGAACAGGAGGGAGAAAGGGAGAGAGAGAGAGAAACATCGATGAGAGAGAGAGACATCGAGTGGTTGCCACCCACATGACCTTAACTGAGGCTGGGGACAAACTGCAACCAAAGTATTGTGCCCTCAGCAGAAACAGAACCCGGGACTCGGTCTGCGGGCTGTCTCTCCAACCTCTCAGCCAAACTGGCTAGGGCAACGATGACGTTTTTTAATGGTTTGAATTTAGGCAATGGCTACTAAGCTAGCCTTTCTGTTTTCTTAAATCCCTTCTCAACCAAATTACTATCGTTTCCACCTATTTTTAACCTGAAAAGTAAAAGAGATCCTAGACAGAGTAAGGAAGCTCTCCCTTTCTCAGGATTTTTCCTGAGCCTGAAAGCTCACTCTTTCACTTTATAAGCATGTGTGTCTCTTCTTGCCAAGTCCTCACTCCATTTGTAGTGTGAACTGTTAAGAGGACAAATTCACTATAAAAAAGGCTACTATTTAATAGCTAAAATAAAAACCACTTACTAAGATTTTAGTTTCCATGCTATGACCTCCACCTTGCACATGATCACAATAAAAGTATGGTTTATAAATCAGACCAAAGACAAGATTCAGTCTTCGTGCTGGCTCAGGTTCTGCCTTCCTCAGGAGATCCTGCAAAACGTGGTAAGTGGTCCTGACTGTGAAAACCTCTCTTCCTGTAAAGGAGACCAAAACTGAATTTCACTTGAAGCCTGCCACTTTATTCAAATATATTTTTAAAGGCTTTATTTTTCATCATTTCTCTATTTTAAACCTACTAATTTATTTTAATAATGAACTACATTTATAATTTTAATTTAACACAGTAGTGAAAGTAGCTGATTGGGCTGGTCGAATTAGACAATGAAAAACATTTTTCTATGAAACCTTCAACATATGTGCACTAAGAAGCACATTAAGTTAGTGCTAAGTCAATTCCTATCTGCACTGCATGTTATTACTCAAGGGGGAAAGCTGGTATAAACCAAGTTTAAAATACATATATATAGATAGATATCTATCTTATATTTACCTTTGAAGTCTTTTTTTTTTTTTCAGCAACTATATTTTTTCCTGACCCAGTTAATCTATATTTGCCTTTAGATATTTTTTCTTGTATTTATCTTGAGATACAGCAGGAGGGAAAGAGGGAGGAAGAAAGAGAGAAACATCAAAGCAAGAGAGACACACATCTAGTGGTCGCCACCCACACAACCCCAACTGGGGCTGAGGACAAACAGCAACCCAGGTACGCATCCTTAGCGGGAACCAAACCTGGCTCTCCGGTCGGTGGGTCAACGCTCTAACCGCTAAGCCAAACTGGCCAGGGCCTTTAGATTTTTAAATTTAGTTTGTACACACTGATTACATACAATGTGACAAGTGTGTTGAAGATCAGGGAACGATAATCATACAAGCATCCCTAGAAAGGACAATTGAGGTTTAATGGCAGTTTTCATATTCACTAGAGGTAGTTTCTCAGGAATAAAATAAAGTACTTGCTCATGCTATTGGAAATTAAAATGAGCAAGTGGAAACTTATCACAAGAACAAATGACATAATAAACATATCCAGGGCTACTATAAGTAATTTCAATATTTCACTTACAATATTCACATTAAAAAATTCATTTGTCGGCCTGCAGTCCGGAGAGACCTGGGTTCAGTTCCCGCTAAGGGCACATACCTCGGTTGCAGTTTGTCCCAGGCCCTGGTTGGTTGTACAGGTGGCAGCCACTCAATGTGTCCCTTTCACGTCGATGTTTCTCTCTCTCTCTCTTCCTCTCTCCCTCCCACTCTATCTGAACAAAAAATGGCAAAATGTCCTTAGGTGAGGATAAAAAAAAAAAAAATTCATGTGTGCTTGGATTACATCTTACTTTGACATGTTTGTAGGCTCAACTAAACAGCTTACCTTACACTACACTTAGCTATTCTTCATGGTACAAATGTGCCAGCATAACATATTTAAATGTCCAGGTCTGACAAAAACAAAAAAAAATGTGGCATGAAAAATAAAGAATCACTGTCACATATGCCTCATAAATGGTCTATCCCTTCCAAAAACCCAAATAACTAAGCAACACCAAAACCAACTTCAAGAGTTTTAAGATAAGGGCATTATATTAGATAATGATGTATACAGTACAGTATCCACTCTGTGGATAATTTAGACTTTGTAGGAATATTGCTTTTTGACAACAGAAAGCTAAAATTCACTGGAGAGGATTATCTGAGAGAGCCATTTATACCAGTGGTCATCAGTAAATGAAATGTTAAGAGTAGAGATAACAGCTCAACTATGTGATTTTGCATTATTGAGATGAAATTAACATTAGTAAGTACACGTTTTCTTCCAGATGATAAAGGTTCCTAAAAGGACATAAAAATCATTTTTTTAATCCTCATCCAAGAATATTTTTCCATTGATTTTTTTATCCTCACCCGAGGATAATTTTTGCATTTATCTTGAGGGAGAGAAGAGGGAGAGAGGGAGAGAAAGAGAGAAACATAGACGTGAGAGAGACACATCAAGTGATTGTCACCCACACGACCCAACCAGGGCTGGGGACAAACTGCAGCAGGAACCAGACCAGGGCCTCTCTGGTCCATGGCCTGACACTCTAACCGCTGAGCCAAATTGACCAGGGCTTTTCCAATGATTTTTAAAGAGTGGAAAGGAGGGAGAGAGGGAGGGAGAAACATCAATGTGAGAGAGACACACTTGATTGGTTGCCTCCCAAATGACCCAGGTATGTGCCCTTGACCAGGAATTGAACCCTTGACCCTTCTGTCCGCAGGCCAACGCTCTAACTGCCGAGACAAACCAGCCAGGGCCAAAAAATAACTTTTAATAGCAATCAGCTATTTGTATTACATACTGAAAAAAAAAGTTACCAAATACCCTTTAAGTTAGGCTATATAGTTATATGTCCTTTAAATTTAATTTACAAGTCGGATTTTGCATTAATTCAGATTTCCAATTCTATCTAATGAATCGTACTTCAATTAATTGGTACAATAAAGCAACAATAGAATCTGCATAATCTGGACCTTATATTTAAGGGGAACCAGACACAACTGCTACTCTTAAATATATATCCCTTGGTTCAAACGCAATACCAGTAGCTCCCATCCTGTGAAGCTAAGTCCATGGATCCATTTGTACACCCAGCTCTACCTGCAGACAGGCTGAACGACGTTCCCAAGGATATCAACCATCTCCCAGTATACTAAATTCCTAACTGCTTTTGATTACATCTTTCCCAGTTCAAATAGTAATAAAAGCACAAGTATTATGGGTATATAGATTAATGGCTGGGGAAAAGGGAGGGGCTAGTAATTGGACGTCTTTTATACTGTCATGCTTAATAATGAATTAATTTGACCTATTTGCGAAGCATTACTAAACATTGTAGAAGACATATCTATATTGAAGTTGTTCCTCAGAATTGTAGCTATACTACAAATTCCCCCAACCACCTACTAACACCCCATGAAAGAGAACTGGAGAAGTGAAATGACCCTCAAGTACAAACTCCTTAAAAAACAAACTGAGAGAAGCTCAGCTGCCAGTTTCAGATGACAAGTTACCCAAAGAAAGGACTAGCAGCAGTCCTTAAGGTTCTAAATTAGCTTTGTTAATATAAGTATATATTAAGTAACACAAATATTTATTACTATAATTGTTGAGGTATTAATTAATATAAATCTGTAGAGATTTACAAATGCTCAAAAAGCATCTTAGGGGAATAAAAATGAAGCTAAAAACTAAAAGGATATTCCAAACATGTTAAATTTTCGGGTTCTGTTAAAATGTTACAAGGTAATTAATTGTGAATTGTGACATTTATATAAAGTATGACTTAAGTGTTGAGCCAACAATTCCAGTAATTTCCTCTTTTCTCCTCAGTGTTTCTACATCACTGTCTTCCTCACAAGTCAACAAAAAATAACTGGTCTTGAGCAAGATTCTGAAGATTTGTGATATGGTGAACCTTCTATCTATAATCTGACCTCATTTCAGGGCTTATCACATCCTACATTAAACCTCTTATCTTCCTCTCACAACAAACTCCTATCCTGACTTCTCCAGTTTCCATTAAGGACAGACACCATCAATACCCCGCACTCAGCACAAACTCAAAATCATCCTGCATTCTGCCTTCTCCCGCAGGTTCTCTCCAGCGGTCTCTATCCTATCAGTTTTCTTCGCACTCCAGCTGCCATGAACCGTCTCGGGACAGGTCAGAACTCCTATAATAGCCTTCTAAGCTCCTTCGCTTTCCAAATCCATCCAGGTCATGTTATCAGAATAATTCTCCTAATAACAAGGCGCTCTTTCTGAAGCTCTTCAGCAACGGCATAAACTCTGAACTACACAGACACACACACACACACTCACGCCCAATCAGAACACTCATACCCCAGACTCAAGAAGGCACTACCTGAGAAAAACAAGTACAACTTCTGGTGAATCCCACCCATCCTGTAAGCCTCGGTCCAAGTCTCATCTCTCTCTTGAAACTTTTTTCAAGTCACTGGAAACCCAAGCAACCACACTTCTGTACTTCCTCAGAACAAGCTGAGTTTTGAACACTGTGTGTTTTCCCTGTATCATTCCCTCCCCTCAATTTTCAATCACGTAGCCAAGCTTTCAAACACTTTGGCTCAGCCCTGGCCGGTATGGCTCAGCTGGTTGGGCGTCATCCTGTGCACCAAAGGGTTTCAAGTTGATTCCTGGTCAGGGCACTTGCCCGGGGTTGCAGGCTCAATCCCGGGGGGTCGGGGGTGGGGTGTGTGTGTGCAAGAGGCAGCAGACTGATGTTTCACTCTCACTCAATGTTCCTCTCTAGTAATCAATAAAAATCTTTGCGGGGGGTGGGGGGGCTGGCTCAGCAGTTCAAGTAGCGTGGAATGTGAGCCAGCCCCATGTTTAGTAATCTCCACTGAAGACACCACATTGAGTACTTAAAGAACGAAGACTGAAGCTTTGGGCAATCTCAGGAAAACAAAACAAATTCTAGAGGATGAGGGGCTCTCCTATGGCAAGACCTCAGCAGAAAGTGCCTGCCACCAACTAGGTGCCCAGCCGCACTCACAACGTGGTTAACTATGTAAGTCCTGTAATGTCAAGAGTGCAAGTACAAAAGCTTTTACAATTGTCAAACCCTCTGAAAGTACTAACTCTGTGTGAAATTATGTGTATATAATCAAGAATGAGCCCAGCCGGTGGGGCTCAGTGGTTGAGCATCGACCCATGTACCAAGAGGTCCCCAGTTCAATGCCCAGTCAGGGCACATGCCCACCCAGGTTGTGGGCCAAATACCTAGTGGGGGGCACGCAGGAGGCGGCTGATCAATGTTCTCTTTCACAGATGTTGCTAGCTCTCTCCCTCTCTCAAATCAATAAAGAAAAAAAAATGAGATCTAAAAAACGTGATCTTCCTTCTATACAGAGGTCACTGTCACCTGTTAGTGTACCTAATGAGTGGATTTGAACTAAACAGATTTGCTAAGCCCCTTCCCAGGAATCTATGGACAAGTTACACAGACAATGTAAAGTTAGTTAAAACAACAAAGACCAAGGTCACTTGTCATGTGACCTTGAATAAAAATATAAAGAATATAAAGTTTACATTGTAATATGTCAACATTGTGGGCAACATTGTGGTTTTTAAAAAACTTTAATAAAAGTTACAATTCTAGCCCTGGCTGGTTTGGCTCAGCAGTTAGAGCGTCGGTCCAGAGAGACCAGGGTTCGGTTTCCGCTAAGGGCAAGTACATCGGTTGCAGTTTGTCCCCGGCCCTGGTCGGTCATGCGGGTGGCAGCCACTCGATGTGTCCCTTTCACATCGATGTTTCTCTCTCTCTCTCTCTCTCTCTCTCTGTTCCTCTCTCTCCCTCCCACTCTACCTAAACAAAAAATGGAAAAAGTGTCCTCGGGTGAGGATTAAAAAAAAAAAAGTTACAATTCTAATGGTTTGTCTTTTAAACCATGACACAATTAGCAATCCATTGATTGTAAGACCTACAGACACAAAATTAATTTAGTGTTGTGAAATGACAGGAAACAACATTCTAGTCATTTCAAAAGGAATCCTACATCTTTACATACTAGGGCTCTATCTGTAATTTTGCCCACTTCCTCTACATCAACTCCCTCAACTTCTTCAGTCCCCAGATAGTAAGTATAAAGGAAGGAGGAACACGTACGTACGTATGTACGTACATACATACACACATACACATCTCGAGCTCCTGTTGAACCTATTTTAGCATGGTTTCTTTACAGTTTCAGACACCACAGGTCACTCACACACCCCAAATTATAATCCCAAACAAAACTAATTTTATGTAACAATTTATAACAAGTTATCAAAGATAAAACTAGATAAAATATTGCCTTGTGCCCAGAGCACCTACAATCTAATTAGATGAATGACTACAGTTTTCTTTTTCGTTTTTAATCCTCACCTGAGGATATTTTACATTGATTTTCGGATAGAATGGGACAGAGGAAGAGAGGGAGAACAGGGGAAAGGGAGAGGGAGCGGGAGAGAGAGAGAGAGAAACATTGATGCGAGAGAGACATGTCAATTGGTTGTCTCCTGCACGACCCCAACTAGGGCTGGGGATCGAACTGCAACAGAGGTACATGTCTTTGACCAGAATCAAGGAATCAAACCCGAGACTCTTTGGTCCTTGGACCAAAGCTCTAATCGCTAAGTCAAACTGGCCAGGGCAACTATAGTTTTCTTAAATATAAATGGAATTGCAGTGATTATCTCCAAGACTATGTATCAACTCAGCATTTAAAAACTAATAAAACTGCCCGAGCTGGTTTGGCTCAGCGGTAGAGCATCAGCCCGAGAACCAACGAGGTTCAGGTCGATTCTGGCCACGGGCACCTACCTCAGTGGCAGTTCGTCCCCGGCTGCAGCTGACCCCCTGGTCAGGGCTGTACAGGAGGCCACCAGTCAGTGTGGCTCTGCAGTGTCGATGTTTCTCTCTCCCCCTCCCTCCCAGTCTATCTCAAGATAAACAGAAAAATATTCTCAGGTGAGGATTAAAAATAAATAGATAATAATAAAACTTTTGTAAGAACCATGAACATGCTACCTCACTCAGAATTTGATTTGTTTCATTATCCTACCCATTCTCTGTTCACATTGAACAGATTAGTCCCAATTAATAAAGTATTCTTAGAAACCAAGATTCATTACTGTACCTAGCCCAACTAAAAGCCATCTTTTTACCAAACACTATGGATGTTATCTGTGTGATACAGGATAGATAGAAACTTGTAACTTTTAGGTAACCAGTGAGTTCTGATACAAAAGAAAAGAAACTTAAAAAAATAAACTTGTTACCACGCATTTCACTCAAATTTTAGATTTTTAAAATTGCACAGATACCCGGCCGGTGTGGCTCAGTGGTTGAGCGTTTGACCCATGCACCAAGAGGTCGCCGGTTCCATTCCTGGTCAGGGTACATGCCCAGGTTGTGGGCCCGATCCCCAGTGGGGGGCATGCAGGAGGCGGCCAATCGATGTTCTCTCATCAATGTTTCTATCTCTCCCTCTCCCTTCCTCTCTCTCTAAAATCAATAAAGGAAAAAAAATCGCACAGATGTACTTCACAAAGTACATCTAGATTGCGAACTACTGCAAAACCTCTATTAAATTGAGCAAGTAAAGCAGGACATTAAAACAACATACTATATTTAGCATCTAAACTTGACCGAAAAAAGAAAACTTGAACTATTCACCACGGTTTTAGACTATACAATACCTTAAATATTTTTCATTTTGGAGGCAATCACTGAAAATATTAATAAAAGTCAGCCTGACTTCTCCGGACCGCAGGCCGACGCTCTAACCGCTGAGCCAAACCAGCCAGGGCAGCCTGACTTCTCTTAAACTAATTCACTAGCACAGATAACTGAAGAAATTACAGTATGTCAATTAAAATAAAAAGAGCCTTCCATTTTCATTCCATTTAAAAAAGGGAAAGACTCACCAAATGACACGTGTATGAATTACAGTACCTACAGACGGCCGTTTTCAAGGAAAGCAAAGAATGCATGACTGTGAGAGAGCAAGCAAATCATTTTCTCTTACAGCCTGAATTTTCTCATCTGTAAAAAAAAAAAAAAGGAATGCACCCTGGCCGAGTGGCTCTGTTGATTAGAGTGTTGTCCCACACACCAAAAGGTCTCAGGTTCAATTCCTAATCAGGGCACATACCTCGGTTGTGGGTTTGATCCCCATCAGGGCACATACAAGAGGCACATACAGATCGATCAATGTTTCTTTCTCTCTCTCTCTCACTTCCTCTCTAAAAATCAACAACAAAACTTTTTTAAAGTTGTTTTAAAATATATACTAATATTGAGTTAATAACCATTTAGTAGATCTAAGCAGTATCAAAAACCTATTTTTAAAGTAAAGCTACCCCTGAAACACCCATCAGAAAGAAATATATGTACCCTTATGTTCAGAGCAGCACTATTTATAATTGCTAAGATCTAGAAACAGGCCAAGTGTCCATCAATAGATGAGTGGATAAAAAGCTATGGTACATATACACAATGGATCTCTTATAATCTGAGATGACATGGAGGGACCTGGAGAATATTATGCTAAGTAACATAAGCCAAGCAGAGAAAGACAAATATCACATGATCTCACTTATTTGTGGAATATAATGAACAAAACAAACTGATGAACAGAATGGACCCAGAGACATGGATGTTTGTCAGTAGAGACTGACAAACCTTGGGGGGGGGGGGGGGAGTTAGACCACAGAACTTATATGCATGTATGTGATGTATGTGTAACCAATGGACATAGACAACTATGTTGGGGGTGGTGGGCAGAATTGGGACGAGGGTGTCAATGGGAGGAAAAAAAAAACCATTTGTAACAAAAATAAATTAATAAAAATAAAGCTACCATACATCTAAACACCATACAAGCTATGAGTTATTTGTGCCAAATAATAATAATAGTTCTAAAAACCAAATTTGATCGCCCTAGCGATCGCCCTAGGTTTGGTTTAGTGGTTGGAGCTTCGGACTTCGGAACAAAGAGCTACAGGTTCAATTCTTGCCAAGGGCATGTACCTTGGTTGCGGTTCAGTCCCAGCCCTGGCAGGGGTCATGCGGAAGGCAAGCAGTTGATATGTCCCTCTCACATCAGCGTTGGTAGTATAGTGGTGAGCATAGCTGCCTTCCCTCTCACATCAACGTTTCTCTCTCTCTCTCTGTATCTGAAGATAAATGGAAAAATATCCTTGGATGAGGATTAAAGAAATATATATTTATAAAAAACAATGACTATGATCAAGCTTCTAATCCTAACTACCAGCTTAGAGCACTGCAGGAGACAAAACACATGCAGAAAAGGCATTTGACAAAATTCAACACTGATTAAACTCTCAGCAAGCCCTGGCTGGTTTGGCTCAGCTGTTGGAGCATCGGCCTGCAGACCAAAGAGCCATGGGTTCGATTCTGGTCAAGGGCACATGCCTCAGTTGCAATTCAGTCCCTGGCCCTGGTCAGATTCATGCCAGAGGCAGCCAGTCAATGTGTCTCTCTAGCATCGATGTTTCTCTCTCTCCTTCACACTCTGTCTGAAGATGAATGGAAAAATATCCTCAGAAAAATAAATAAATAAATACATAAATACATAAATAAATAAAAGAATTTACAAATTAAAATGAAAACAACTTAAAAAAAACTCAGCAAACTAGAAATACAGGGAAACTTCCTCAACTTGTTAAAGAGCACACACACACACACACACACACACAGTACACCTAACATCATACTTAATGGTTACAAACTTTCCTTCTAAGAGCAAAGATGTCTCCTCTCACTATTCCTTTTCAACATCAAACTGGAAATTCTAGTTAATGCTATAAAACATTAGAGCGAATAGGTAATTACAGCCCGGCCAGTGTGGCTCAATGGTTGAATGTCGACCCAGCACCATGAGGTCACCAGTTTGATTCCCAGTCAGGGCACATGCCCAGGTTGTGGGTCAAATCCCCAGTGGGGACCATGCAGGAGGTGGCCAATCGATGTTCACTCTCATTGATGTTTCTACCTCTCTCTCCTTCTCCTTTCCTCTCTCTCTAAAATCAATACAAAAAAAAAGAAAATTTTTTTAAATAAATAGGCGAGTACATCAAGGTTAAAGAATACAAGGTTAATATACAAAAGTTAATTACCTTCCTAATACCAGCAACAGAATTTGAAATTAAAAATATATTACTATTTATATTAGTACCCCCCAAATTTTAAATATTTAGAACTAACTTGATAATATGTACAAAATATATTTAAGGAAAACTAGAAAACTCTAATAAAAAACATCAAAAAAACTATATAGAGAGATATTCCATGTTCATGGATAGGAAGACAATATTGTCAAAATCTCAGTTCTTCCCAAATTGATCAAGAATCCAATGCAATCTCAATCAAAATCCACAAATCATCAAACAAATTCTAAAGTCTGCATAGAGAAACATAAGACTCAGAATAGCCAACAGAGAGTAAGTACTGAAGAAAAAAACAGAGGACTGGCTTCCCTGACCTCAAGACTTAATATAAAGCTACAGTAATCAAGGCTGCGATAGCAGTAAAAGAACAAACAGGTCAATGGAATAGAACTGAGAGCCCAGAAATAGACATATATGTGTCAGTTGACTATACACATATTTAGTCAACTGATCTTTAAAAGCAGTAAAAGCAACACAATGGAGAAAAAATAGTCTTCTTGCAAAAATAATAATAATAATAATAATAATAATAATAATAATGGTGCTGAAGTGGACATCCACATGCAAAAAGAAAATGAGTCTAGACACAGACCTCATACCCTCACACAAATTAACCAAAACTCTAGCACAGGTCTAATGTAAAATGAAGAACTATAAAATTCCTAGAAAGAAAATCTAAATGACCAATGCCTTATTTTATTTTAAATATGTTTCTATTGATTTTTTTAGAGAGAAAGGAAGGGAGAGAGAGAGAAACATTGATGTGAGAGAGAAACACCAATCAGCTGCCTCCTGTACGCCCTCCCAACCCAGGATTGTACCTGCAACCCAGACAGGTGCCCTGACTGGGAATCAAACCAGGACCTCTCAGTACATGAGACTGCTCAATTCACTGAGCCAAACTGGCCAGGCAACCCATGTTTTTTTAAATAAAACAACAAAGGCACAACCATGAAAGAAATAATTGATTAGCTGGACTGATTAAAATTAAAAATTGTGCCCTGGCCAGTTTGGCTCAGCAGTTAGAGCGTCAGCCTGTGGTCCAGAGAGACCCGGGTTCGGTTCCTACTAAGGGCGCATACCTCAGCTGCAGTTTGTTCCCGGCCCTGATTGGTCGTGCAGGTGGCAGCCACTCCATGTGTCCCTTTCACGTCGATGTTTCTCTCTCTTTCTCTCTCTTCCACTCTATCTGAACCAAAAAAGTCCTCGGATAAGGATAAAAAAAAAATTAAAAATTGCTCTGCAACCCAGCTGGTGTGGCTCAGTGGTTGAGCACTGACCCATGCACCAAGAGGTTACCAGTTTGATTCCCTATTAGGGCACATGCCGAGGTTGTGGGTCTGATCCCCAATGAGGGGCATGCAGGAGGCGGCCAATTAATGTTCTCTCTCATCAATGTTTCTATCTCTCTCCCTCTCCCTTTCTCTCTCTCTAAAAATTAATAAAGAAAAAAACTTTTTCCTAAGTAACAGTTAAGAATTTTAAATCACTGAATAAGATAAAACTCCACATCTACACACATGTGAATAAACACACAAACAGAAAGAGAAAACTTTTCTTTACAGCAGAAATCCATCTAATAAATGGGGAAAAAAAGAATAAGTGGATTAGAAAATCACCATTTGTCAATCTTCACAACAGATTCAGAAACAAATCTCCGCTGGATGTTAAAACCAGTGGGCAAAAGTTAGAATATTAACAGAACACTTAAATAGCCTCCAAGTGTCCCTCCTCAACAACAAATGGTAATGATACAAGATCTAGTAGACATCTTAACCAAACAATCCAAGTTAACCACACCAGTAATCACACCTTGATATGTTGTACTAAGAACACATCACTTCTGTGTATTCTTGCCCAAAAGTGCATACTGTAACTCTAATCATGAGAAAACATCACACATACTATATTACGAGACTTTCTACAAAATAATTAGTCCTATATTCTTCAAAAACATCATGAAAAAGAAAGACTTTATACTGTTCCAATTAAAAGAGCTAATAAAAACATGGTAACAGCCCTGGCCGGTTTGGCTCAGCCGTAGAGCGTCAGCCTGAGGACCAAAGAGTCATGGGTTCGATTCCAGCCAAGGGCCCGTACCTTGTACCTCGGTTGCGGTTCAGTCCCCAGCCCTGGTCTAGGTCTTGCAGAAAGCAATCGGGGGGGGGGGGGGTGCGTGCATGTGTGTCCCTCCCTCCCACTCAATCTGAAAATAAAGGAAAAAAATATCCTCGGGTGAGGAAAAAAAAAAAAAAACATTAAGGGGCCCAACCAGAGGGACTCAGATGGCTGAGCGCTGTCCTGTGCACGGAAAGATTGCCAGTTCAATTCCTAGCCAGGGCACATACCTGGGTTGCAGGTTCAGTCCCCAGTCGGGACACTGACAGAAGGCAACAGATCAATGTTTCTGTCTCACATCAATGCCCTCCACACACACCCATACCCACACCTTCCTCTCTCGAAACATGTCCTCCAGTAAGGATTGAAAAGTAAAAATAAGCCCTGGCCGGTTTGGCTCAGCGGTTAGAGTGTCGGCCTGCGGTCCTGAGAGACCCGGGTTCGGTTCCCGCTAAGGGCGCGTACCTCGGTTGCAGTTTGTCCCCGGCCCTGGTCGGTTGTGCGGGTGGCAGCCACTCGATGTGTTCCTTTCACGTCGATGTTTCTCTCTCTCTCTCTCTCTCTGTTCCTCTCTCCCTCCCACTCTACCTGAACAACAAAAAAAATGGAAAAATGTCCTCGGGTGAGGATGAAAAAAAAAAGAAAAGTAAAAATAAGTCCAGCCGGTGTGGCTCAGTGCTTGAGTGTCGACCCATGCACCGGTTTGATTCCT